GGGATTCATGCAGTAATACTAAATTCTTGTCATATGACAGTTGTCAAAGTTGTATGGAAGAGGGTAAGGTGGAAAATCTAGGCTTCTCATGAATTGCACGACTGAGGTTGGAACATCTCGGTAGTCTTAACTTCGCCAAAAAAGAAGACATAGCCGAAACTGACATTACATACAAAAAAATGTGTGCAGCCTCAAAGCGCTACGCCGATTTATACGGCTTTTATGATTCAGAGTATAAGAGTTTTTAGGTCCACAACCGAATCGGCATGCTCTTTATCAGTTCTTCCACGCCGTATTTGATTAGTAGCAAAAGCGGCAAAGCATCGTTCTTCAGACGGGTAATTGCTATTCGAACTTCTTCATGGAACGACTGCTATCGATTGGAGAATCGAGTTCACCACTTCCTGATGTTATGCTTTCACTGCGGTTCAGCAGGCTGGGGACGTGTTCCCTTTTTAATTTCAGGATGCCATGGACATCAGTCACTAGATCACTTCTGTGGGTTCTACGAGACCGGCAGCATATTTTCCGGAGTTGAATATCTTATTACTTTCAAAAGAGGGAAAGATCGAAGAAGAAAAGTCTGCGGTAGCAATGCAAAGCTTTGTTAAATAAACTAACACAGCAATTTTCGGGAATCTTTGTTGACAGTGGCACCACAAATTAAAGACGTTTATTGAAAACAGTTGTGATTATTTGAGAAGAATGAAAAATCACAGGAATTAAGTACAAAATGTACAAGTTTTTTCCCAACGAAATTTCGCTGGTACCCTCACATGTACCCGCTTATAGTGAGTTAGCGCCACAAAACAAAAATGTGGCTTATATAGCTATATGTATGTGTATGTATGTAACTATGTATTGACATTTGAGATTTATGTTGGGGACGAAAATGTCGGCATTCAGCACCAATTCGTTGATCTGCTGATCTTTGGCGCTTGTCGCCTTCGTGTAAATACTAAATACCCTCAATAACGGCATTTATGTATGTAGAGTAGAAAACAATTGCTAAATTATTAACGTCATTTAGCCACAAGTCGACCAAAAAGAGAAAGAAAGCAAAAAGGCTAGAGAACTACGACAGCTTAGGCATGAAGAGGATGGTTATTGGCGCCTAATGGAGAATAATGTTATTTAGGTTCATATGTGTGCAGTATGTATGTGATGTTCATAACTCATATATATACTGTATGTATGTATAAGAGTATATACATATGTACGTAATTATATATAGAAGCGCTACAAATAGTGCCAGAATGTGCATGGTTGGACAGCCATTTATCTTCAGATCCACAGGCACACAAAACGAGAGTGGGCATGTGTGCGTGCATATTTTAGCTTAATTTAATTTCTTTTCTCACTTTTTTTGTTTTCAAAATACTCGCTATATGTGTAATCCTGTACGAAAACTTCTATGTTCGCATGTGTGTGTTTGTATGCTTAGCATGCTAAAATGTTTGATTTTGTACTTGTACGTACGCCGGCAAACGTTCTTTGTTTATTTTGGCCAAAAAACAATGAATGTTGGCCGTTCGACTTTTCTGCTATAGATTTTGAAACCCGTGTCGAAAAACATGCACATACACACACACACACAGATATACATACAAAGCTAGAAACAAGCATACTTTTGCGAATTGTGGCGTAAGTTAGCTAAAACACAATTGCAAAAACGACATCGAATGCAAAAAAAGAAAAAGAAAATAAATAGTAGCTTATACGCAATGGCTTTCGTGTGCCTGAGCCCTGTAGGAGAAATATTAATTGGATATAAAAGCTTGTTTCAGTTGAAAATTGTGAATTATAACGGTAGATATGTACATAACACACAAAAATAGAAAACAAAAATTAAAACAAAAACAAAAACAAATATATATATGTATATTTTTGATAAAAATATTTTTTCCTGCCTACAAAATTTTCCTACAGGGTGTTTGTAGAGTACAATTATTTATTTGCGTACTTGCGTTTCTGCACACACACATATCCTTTGCCACAAATGTACATATGTGTGTATGTCATGCAAATTCACATGTAGTCGGGGAATTTAATGCTGGGCAAATTTCAGTTGGCGAAAGCACATTCTTCCTGGACCCAGTTTGGTTTTCGGTTGCAAGCGAAAATAAATATAGCAGCGATCAGCTCAGATTAAAGGCTATGTGCGATGTACACGAGTCCATACACACATTCATGGATATATGTATGAATGTACATATATACTCCCATGTCTGTGTATGTGTATTTTTAACGCAGTATGCGGGTCATTAAACTCTAAACCATTAGAACAATTGGAAAATCTTAAATTGAGATGTTTTCCACGAAATAGTACGAATAAACTATCGGAATAAACTATCGAACGCATCGAAGCCATTTTCCGTCTGAGGAACTTAATAACTTATATCTATTTAATCCGATGACAAATAACATTGCCATTTTAGCATACTCATATTTGTATAGAATATTTACCGTTATCTACATACATATGTATGTATATCAGTCAGATCAAAATGACTGAAAAAGAACGCGGACGTATGTATATTCGTGTAGGAATAATACTTGTGAGAACAAGTACGCATCATCATCAGTGCAACACTGTGCCCCTTGGGTGCATCTCTTCGAGCCTTAATTCACATCATAGAAAACAAATTTTCATCTATAGGCACAGAAAAAATCGAGTTAGTTCTCGAAGTCCGTTTTAATACAAACCAACTTTCTTCACCACTGGTAACAGTGCGTGTGACAAGGGAGACGAACTCGTTTAAAGACCGTGTTTGAAGCCCTAACAGCAGAATCTTTAGACGCACTACAGGGAAGGTAGTCCCTTGTGCTGGTACAAGCACTTTAAATACTTTTAGAAGTGTTCTTCGTCGCCTTAGCAATGCCCACTTAACGGGACTTTAGGAAAGAACCGACGCGGACGACTACATGGGGGTCTAAGGAGCCGGATTTTTTGGTACCATTCCTAAAATATGTATATTTCCTAATACAACAACAACTACATTGGCATACGTAAATGGATCGCGAAAGTGGCCAAAACCCATCCTGTAGGCACAACGGTCGGATCTACGTAACCGGAGCGGACCAGGAGTTTTATCCGCCCGTCTCGGCATCATCTTTTGCTGCTGTTGTTGTTGTTGTAACCCAATCTCCGTTAGGATGTTAAGGAAAGTTAGAGTAGTTGTCATCGAGGTCATCCAACGGGAGGCCCAGGAAGCATGCTATTTCAACGGGGTCGAACCATAGGGAGAAAGGTGTAGGATGTGTGGGGTTAGCATGCAAAGAGGTGGTTATTGTTATACGGAGACTCATTATACGCTAGAAATATGTTTGATATGTCAGGGACGATTATGGATAAGTGGAAGTTTAACATGCTACAGTATCCAGAACCAAGCTGCTTAAGGGTCACTTTCGTTTCTCACTCGAACTCTTCGTCTGCAATGGGTGGTGGTTTGACTCCAAGTACACCACTCAATAAGAGCGAATCGGTGAAGGTGTTAATGGCTCCACTGTGAATGACGGTCAGTGCATGTCTGTAGTTTGTGGCGTATTGCTTTATGTCGTCGACTTAGTTGAGAAAGGGCCTCTTGATGCACCTAGGAGGCGGTTCCGCTCGAGCTACAACAACAGCAAACAGTCCGGACTACTGGATAACTAACTGGATCGAACCCATATATATACATATGTATGTATGACAAGAACCTTAGACATTTTTAGACTATCGTTAAATAAGCACTCTCACACATGCAGCAGGAGCCCAATAACCAAAACGTTCACATCTTAGATAACACGAAAAGTACAAGAAATTTTGAAGAGGATTTGCTTGACCTCCTCAACTCCTTGTGAAATCTCTATAGAGGCAGTTACCTATAATATTTTAATAATATAATTCGGAAATTTACATGATGAATTACACGGATATCGAACAGTGGCTCAAGTTAGTGCCACCTTCTTACATAATTCAAGAAAATATTATAATATAGAGCCACATTTCTAATTCATATTATTTCACATACAACATTTATCGATTTCCATTTTTAATTCTATTTACATGTAAATATGTATGTATAGTATATATTATGTACAATTACAACACAATTTTCAACACGATCAGTGAGCAAAATATGGTGTATACATACAAACATACGATCAACTAATTAGATACAAACGAACATGGGTAGATGAAAAGCGCCTACAGCGACATACCAGCGTGTGTATGTTCCAATACATATGTACCTAGGTACATAGTACTATGTAGATCACCGAGGCGTCGACTGTGACAGAGCAAACTTAAGCGCCTGTGCTGCGTGCTACCGACGTGCCGCTGCGTCAAGCAAAGTTAGCGCTCAGCAGTGGGCGTTTAAACATTTACGTTTGCACAGGGAACACACAAGAACCCGTACATACATTGTATGTATGTATGTATGTACATACATGCGAAAATATAGAGGAGCATAAGTACAAATATAAAGTATATGTGCGAGGAACAAAAGCGTCAATTTATCATACCGACTTTCTGTGTGAAAAGCGCAGAAAGCCTAAGAACAAAATATAAAAATATATAAATAAATAAATAAATAAAAATTGCAAATAAAGGCGAAAGCGGCAAGAAGTGAGATAAATGCGTTGTACGACAGACAGACAAGCAGACGGTCAAACAAATGCCAGACAATGGAATTGACAGGCCGCCGGAGCCGGTTGGTGGTAGAATAGAATACTCGAAGAAAGCGAAAAAAGTCAATACGAAATGTACTGCAGTGGATATGTACATATGTATGTGTGCGCGTTAAGGAGGTCAAGAAAGAATGCCAAGCATTGTCTTAAGATAACGTTGAATAATTTAAGCATTAACACATACATATTTACATATGTAAGTGTGTGCATTCAACATTAAATTAACTGGGTGGAATCACTTTCGTTTCGCCATGCGCAACCTTTTAGGAGAGGAGATACAGCAATATTGTAATTAAATAATAAAGTAATAATTTTATTGTTTTACATACCCGTTGAATGTGCAGCATGAATTTGGTAGATTTTCACTTTCGTTCGTTTCAGTAGTTTGGTATGTACAGATGGGTGTGCTATAACTACGCCGGACGCTTTTAAGGAAAGCAGCTCAACCAAGATTTATATGTTGTGTCATGTACATATGTACATACATGCATACATATAATTTACAGACTTAACGTTTCACTTTTTACACTTCACTATTTTACTCTCTCGATGGCAGTTGTTTGGTGTACCTTTGCGTTAAAATTTGTTCACCAAAATACAAACCGTACTGTTTTCCTTAATTGGGAGTTTGGCGACAGCGTGACGGCTTTTAAAGTATTTACATATGTACTATGTATATTTACACGTGCATTTTGTATTTTGTGTAATTGTTGAACGAAACGTGACTTCCTGCAACTTAGATGTGTAGTTATATTTCCTTTAGTGGATTTGACAGTCCTACGGATGAGAAATTTAATTTTTAACACTGGCGTTCGATAGCACTCCGACTGGTGTTTGATGATGCGTACGCAAACAGAAAACTAAAGAACATCACAAACTACAGTGGAGTTTCCTGTACACATTATGCAGCAATTTTTACCATTAGGCACACTTATATTGACATATATTATATTATATTTGAATTATTTTTAAATTTGTTTGGAAATATGCACATTTGGCTCTACACATTGTGGTACACAAGGTACAATCGTTTATAGTTATAGTTTTAACACCTATTCGTTTTTTTTAACTGCTTTTAATTTTTTGTTTCCATTCTGTATTGTTGAATAAGATTAAATGCTGCCGCTGTCAGTGTCGACGTTGACAGCGCCGCTTATTAGAACAAAGAATTACCGAAAATTAACTAAACACTAGCGCACCCAAGTTCGATACAACGTCGTTGGTTAAGGCGCTAAAAAGACAACGAACGCGATGACAAAGGCGGAATAGCGACTAAATTAACGATACTGCAATAACAAATACGCAGAGCATCTGATTTGGGCGTTAGTGTGGGTGGCTACCATTTAGTGAATGTAATATATTTCTTATTGACGCTGATGGTACTGTATGAATACTTGGGGAAATGAGCAAAATGCACCGTACGTGGTATGGGGATCATATACAACAACAACAACAACATCGTATTGGCCAAGAACGCAAATAGATGTTTGTTGTTGGGTATTTAGGATGCTCTGAAAATATACATACGTTTCTTAATGCCACCGATGGCTACATCGTATATTTAGTAGCTGCGTGCGGCAAGGGGCGTAGTTGATATAAGTATTTGAAAATGGATCTCTAGTATCGTGCGCTGCTCCCACTAGGTGTACGCTCTTGCTCTGCAACTTCGTCTGTGTCCGCTCTTTTTACGCTACACTCGAATATGTTGTGCACCAGACGTTTCTAAAATTACACAATTCAACTTATTGCCCAATTTTTTCAAAACAATTTTTTAGCTATATCACTTGTACTAAGGGAAAATAAAATATTTTTTGTATTAGCTTTCTTGGGCGGCGTTAAGCCTTGGTCAAATTCTAATTGACATTTGTTTTTGTTTGCTACACACATTTATCTATAGATTATATCCACTTTTTGACACCGTACACCATTAAATCCAATCAGACAAAACAAACCGCATCGAGACGGTGAACGAAGCCGACTGAAGCGTAGACGCTGCGCCTTGAACATTGCGTCGCCGTTGTCAATGTGCAACAGTGTTGCCGTTGTAAGACACTTAAGGCTTTCAAGAGCGAATATAACAATATATTTGTATGAAAAAAAATAACAGCAAAACTTAAGAAAAAATTCACCAAGGCCATTTTTTTATATTATGTTCCCGAAATACTCACTGATTTTCATGATATATTAATTTTCCTTAATATGTTTTTAATTGTTCAATACATTGCACGTTTGCCGATTTGCAACACTGAGGGTATGTTCAATCAAATAAAACTAAAAACTATGGAGCCCCAGCAAACAAAAGTCAGCTTGAAAATTATTTGGTTAAGGTGAATAATGTTGATCAATAGGCGATAATTCCTAAGTGGCCAACCGATCAGAGGGTACATGAAATTGGATCATCAATTGAGAACACATGCCTCCCAGGTCTGCAGCCAGAAAAGCTAATTTAGTAAGAAAGAGGTCTGATGGTGGCTAATATTAAAACATTTATTAACCATAAGTAATCGATAAATATCAATAACTTATTTTCGTAAGCTTCTTTATGTTCGCTATAATTATTCTATTAACATTGATGAGACTTTAAAGTGTAATATGTTAGTTAATTTTGTGAAATGGTTTTTTTCATTATTAGAAACAAAATTAATCAGGCTTGGTATAACATTCTACGCCATCTTCATTCGCTTTACGATAGATAGATTTTGCGTAATTTTATTTTATTGCATCTTGAGGATCGATAATTTTTAGAAATAAAAATGCAACTCTTCAATTTCTGCGGGTGTAATAAAGAAAATGTTTATTGTGGCTTTCGAATGTTCGCGCCGGTGAAAAATTCTGCAAAAAGTGATATTATTTATTTTTCTCTCTCTATTTTATCAGTAAAATATAATAACTAAAATCTAATGTAATATGAAGCAGTTATATTTTCCATAAGTGGTGGAAATCGTTTGCAAAATGAGTGATAGCTCAGCAGATCCCATCATCACAGTTACGCTAGAGTCCGCAGGTTAGTGAACAAAATAATGTCCTCGCTTTGATAATTAATTATTACCTATTAAATCTGTAGATGGGGATGCGAATGTCGTTAATCTCGATGCGGCTACTAGGAGTCTATTAATAAACGGTGGACCCGGTAGCAATATACAAAAATACGTTACATCGTCAAAGGTTGGTTTCAGAAATTATTATGAGTTGACTTTAACATGCATGGTTGGAGCACCATGTTCAGTTGACCGAATTTTAATCTGATTTTTTTACTTTATAGAATTTCTGGATAGAGCTGCCGCAGATGATAATTGTAGAAACGCGCTTTATTACACAACAGATAGCTGCACAAAATCGTATATATTCTGCGCAAACATTATTACCAATAACTGATTATAGATTTGAGCTAGACGAGCAGGAGACCGTATGTCCAAATGCCGCACAAACGAAGACGCCACCAAAACTAGTAGAGGTAGGCACACTAGCAAAACCCGATGTTGTTGACGTCGCCGTAAGCACCGACAGTCCTAATCCCTTTCGCGATCGGGCACAACAAACAACAAAAACATTAATACAAACTGCAGCGGTAGGTATTCAATGCAATTTAGATGACTATTTCGAATTTGAGGAAGCGCCAACTGATGGGAATGAGTTGAAAGCAAAGGCAAGCACTGAGAAACAGCAATTTTTGAGATTCACACAAGAGAATTCTATATTTTACTTGAATGGAAGACGCGAGTGCATATTATGTGGAGAAGTTGAGGACACAATGGAAAGAATGCTTTCGCACTTAGCAATCCATTGGGGTCCTGCAGCGCTGTGCCATCTCTGTGGTTTACAGTTTGAACATCACAGGTTAATGTCGTTGCATCAATGCAAAGTGAGACTACGCAAAAGTAAAAAGAGGAAAAAATTCTACAGACAATGTCCCGTTTTTTGGTGTGGCGCCGTGAATGCCTCAACGAAAGAATTAAATGAACACTTACGTAGGCACTTCCGCATGCGACGGCGACGCGCTTGTGTAACTTTTACACTCGATCAAACGATAGTAATTAAACGGCCTTTTTATACAAAAACAAATTGTTTACATCGATGTAATATATGTTTGCGTCGATATAAAAGCTCTCAAAAATTTACTAAGCATAGAAAACGTTGCCTTAGGTGCTTCATAGCGCAACTGAAGGGGCAGAAATATGTGGAGCCTCTACTAATATTTAGTAGAAAATAAAAATAAAATTGATATGTGCATCCTAAGAAACAATAAAGTTACATTAATAATCGCAAAAACATGTAAAAATCACCTATCTTCCATACAAATTGTTGACTGCTGAACGACCACAAGTGTATTACAATTTACACCTACGCTGAACTCTTCGTAACACTACATATGATAAATATTCAATTTGCAAATTTTAGTTCATAGGATTTATATATTTTTGGAAATGTTCAAAAAATATAAAATAAAATAAACAATGTAATATTAATGAATACCCTAACTTATCAGTATCAGATTACAACATGTATTTGTTGTTCTTCTCTGACAAATGTTTTGAAGAGCGTTTTGCATCCAGGAATAAGGAGTGTACATCGTCAATATCCTCCTTTGTAATTTGTGTACGTCCATTCACTTTGGTCATCTGGTGTGCCGGTGTTAGCAATTGCACCGCATAACGTAAGGTAGATGTGCTACCGATTTCGCTAAGACGACTAAACGCAGTATCTTCCAGCTGTAGGCCCTCAGTTTGCGCGCGCAATTTAATAATTTGTTCCATTTCCGAGGATGAGTATGGTAATGTGCGTATGATTAGCAAACGATCCAGCAAATCTAAAGGTATGCCATGTGGTGATACAATATCTGTGGTGCCGCTGCAAAGAGATTATTCATACGAAATTTGCAAATTAAATAAATGTCTTGAATAGTTTACCGAATGACACAGCGTCCACGATTTGTGGCAAAGATGACAATTGGTGCGATGGGAGATTCGAGTGACTTGTGCAAGTACGTAAATGTTTCCAAGTCAAGCATATGTATTTCATCAATAAAGAGTACACCGGGTACAAGTTCAGCGATGCCCTGATCTATGTACTTGTTAACAACTTTGTTGATCTCCATTCGCAACTTATCTGCAAAAATCAAGCTGACGCTATGAAATATAATTGGTATTACCTTATTACAAACCTGTGATTTCCGTTTTCTTCGGCTTCATCAATTGCCCCATCATTGAAAGTACATCCTGTCCACCCTGTGGACGCGCGTTCGCCACGTCCAAATCATGTAAAGTAACATCCTGTATAACTTCCTTCTTTTTGTGTACATCGCCTTTAGGTAAGGGCACATATTCCTCGGTTTCCAAATCGAATTCCGTTGCAAAGGTATCACTACGACCCTGACGTTTAACAGCACCACTATTCGCTTCGATATAAATAACATCACCGACCTCTACCTTTTCCTTTTGTAGTGACTCAAAAATGCTGGGATCCAATTTTAATTGTTTTGTACCCTTGGCTGTTTTTAAACCAATTACAACGTTGCTAATAGTTTTGCCATAACCACCCATTGGATTTTCCGTCTCGACTGGTGTCAACTCAGTCACTTCGCCCTCGTACACTTCTTTGGTCTCACGAATGCGTAGACCAATCGAACGACGGAAATTCTCCATTAAAACTTCGGTTTTCTTTATTTCGCTACTAAAAACTTCAGAACCCACCATGGGACAGAAGGGTACCTTATTACCCAATTCTTGTGCAATGGCAAGTGCTATTGCTGTTTTGCCTGTTCCCGGCGGTCCAGCTAACAGCAATGCACGTCCTGCCATTTTCTTTGATTTTATGAGATCGACTGCGATACCAGCGGCTTCGCGTGCAGCTTTTTGACCTACTAGCCCTGCTCCGATTGGTAGTGGCACGCCACTCTCATCGAGACCTAGACCCTTCACGTGGCTATGCGCCGCAATACGCTGTGTTCGCACAGTACTTTTAACTTCTTCGATCTTCATGCCGAATGATTTTTCTAGTTTATAAATGTGCACGACTTTTATATATTAAATTATCGATCAAACATAAAATCTGGTTCTAGAATATTTAAATGCTTTTCGACGTTTAATGCGGCGCACACTTTTGTTGCTATTTTATTTTTTATAAGCAGCCAGTTGTCAAACAATTGACAGTTGCCAAGCAACATGTGTGCGGAAACATAAAGCTTTTTGCGAGCATACACTTTCGGACAGTTTGAAAACTATGGTAGTTTCACATTATTTAAAATTTGATGGAAAATAGAGAAGAACAAAGAATGTAGATGTAAACTTGCCATTGAGGCGATGTGATCCCTACTTGGAAACATGGATCCAAGAAGCTTATCCTGCGCCTATAGAGTGCTGTGCAGTCATTTAGCCCCCAAGAGTTCCTCAGAACAAGTAGACACCTGCGTTTCGTAAATAAGATGATTGTCGTCTTCGAGGTCCCTTCAGTCCAATCCCTCTAGAACATCTCTAGGCTAGATCAAGTTGTCTTAAGAAAACAGAGTGGTGTTTACGCAATTACAACCCCTGTTATGTGAAGAATGGAACTCCTTCTTATCCAACGTCACCCTGAGTCCTATTATATTAACTAACTATTTGTATGCTATTCGAGTCGACTTATTAAAGGTCCTTTTCTTTCCTACATATTTCTTTGCCATGAAAATAGCTCGAGTCTTGGGCCTACCGTCATACAATGGCAATATTTAGGCTACTTTGGCTACGACCGAGACAAGATATCAAAACAGCAGACAACCACCGATGTTAAGTGAAATGTGTCTTTTATACTGAACCCATTGTATAGAGACATTGATAATTTTAAATTTTTTTATTTTACACTTACTTTAATATTTGAACTTAAAATTTACATTAATAAAAGAGAACACATTATTCGAACGAAAAAATTTCAATATGGTGACTACAGGTCGGGTAGGATGGGAGGGCAAGTGCAAACCAAATGCTTATCACCGTAAGCATCATCAATCCTTCCAACAGTGGGCCAAATCTTTGAATCGGGCTTAACAAACAACTGCAAAAACAAAAAAAAAGTTTAGCTTCGAAAAAGAATAACCTTTTTGGTTTACTTACCGCTGGGAAGGCCGCCTGCTCGCGGGTATATGGTCTGTTCCACTTGTCCGAGATGACCTGTGCTTGTGTATGTGGAGCCATTTTTAATGGATTCATGACCTTGTCCATGCGTCCCTCTTCGATCTCGATAATCTCCTCACGTATTGAAATCATCGCATCACAGAAGCGATCCAATTCTTCTTTGTCCTCAGACTCTGTCGGTTCAATCATTAAAGTGCCTGCCACAGGCCAAGACATAGTGGGCGCATGGAAGCCATAGTCCATTAAACGCTTAGCAATGTCCACCGCCTCAATATTGGCCGACTTCTTCAGATCGCGCAAATCGAGAATGAACTCATGCGCTACAAGTTGACTCTTCGATGACTTATACAAGGTTTTGTAGTGATTTTCCAAACGCTTCGACATGTAGTTCGCATTAAGAATGGCTACTTGGGTTGCACGTTTAAGTCCACGACTACCCATTAGCTTGATGTAAGACCAGGAAATTGGCAGAATTGCAGAAGAGCCGAATGGTGCTGCCGAAACTACGCCAAAACTTTCCTGCTCACATTCTAGTGGACTAATCACAGGATGACCTGGCAAATAGGGTGCCAAGTGTGCTTTTACGCCAATAGGACCCATACCAGGACCGCCCCCGCCATGCGGTATGCAGAAAGTCTTATGTAGATTCAAGTGAGAGACATCACTGCCATAATCCCCGGGACGACATAGACCCACTTGTGCATTCATATTAGCGCCGTCCAAGTATACCTGACCGCCATGTTTGTGGATGAGATCGCATATATCAGCAACAGTCTCCTCAAATACACCCATTGTGGATGGATAGGTGATCATCAGACAGGACAAATCGTTATTGTGCTCTGCTGCTTTGTCGCGTAAATGTGCCATATCGATGCTGCCATCGGAGAGAATACGTATGGGTTCGACTTTCATGCCAGCCATTTGTGCAGACGCGGGATTGGTGCCATGCGCCGAGATGGGAATTAAGCAGACATTGCGATGGCTCTCATTGCGGTGTTCGTGATATCTGCGTATAGCGCGCAGGCCAGCATATTCTCCCTGAGCGCCAGAATTTGGCTGAAAAGAGATCTTATCATAACCAGTAATCTCACAGAGATCCTTTTCGAGTTCACTGAACATTTGATGATAGCCTTTTGCTTGTTCGATAGGCGCAAATGGATGCATATCGGTGAAGTGACGGAAGGAGCATGGAATCATCTCGGTAGTGGAATTAAGCTTCATGGTGCAGGAGCCGAGTGGTATCATGGAATGTACGAGAGAAATGTCTTTATTCTCCAAACGTTTCATGTAACGAACCATGCGAGATTCGCTGTGGTGCGAGCTAAATATCGGGTGCTTCAAGAAAGGAGATGTGCGCAAGAACTTAGAGCGCTCGATGGAGTGTGTGAGTATATCCTGTGTAGCAAGGATTTCATCTAACGACTTGCACTTAAAGACCCACAACATATCATTAACGTCCTGAGGACGGACCGTTTCATCTAGTGCTACACCTATACTACCATCAGGGAAGTAGCGGAAGTTAATGCGTTTCTGCTCGGCACGCTTTTTGATCTCATCAATCGACAGGCTTTCCGACGGTGTGACATGCAGTGTATCAAAGAAGTGTTTGTTATTTATTTGATGGCCTGCCTCACGCAGACCTGTTTGCAGAGCTAGCGTGAAGTGGTGTATACGATTAGCAATTTCCTTCAGCCCATCGGGACCGTGGTAGACCGCGTACATAGCAGACATATTGGCGAGCAGTGCCTGCGCGGTGCAAATGTTGCTAGTTGCCTTGTCACGACGTATATGCTGCTCACGTGTCTGCAATGCCAGGCGGTAGGCATCATTGCCGTCCATATCACGCGTAACGCCAATCATGCGACCCGGCATCAGACGCACCAAACTCTGCTTGCAGGCAAAGAAGCCAGCGTGGGGACCGCCATAACCCAGCGGCACGCCCAAACGTTGCGATGTACCAATAGCAATATCGGCGCCAAATTCTGCGGGCGGGCGAAGTAGTGTTAGCGCAAGCAGATCAGTGGCGACCACAGTTAGAGTCTACGAAGAAAACGATTACTAAGCGCATACTTTAAGTTATTAATTTCGTATCGACTTACGCCATTTTTACGCGCTTTCTCCGCAAAATCCTCAATATCCTTAACATCACCGTAAGTATCGGGGTACTGCAACAAAATGCCTGATATTTCACGTCCCTCCAAATCAGCATTCTCGATCGGTCCAATTTCTGTCACGAACTCCAAAGCTTCAGCGCGTGTCTGCACCACAGATAGAGTTTGTGGATGCAACTTGTTTGACAGGTAGATCTTCTTGCGTTTATTGTGTCTGCGACGCAAAAATAGTGATTACATAATTCTATTAAGACTCCTTCGTCGAAACTTACCTCGTGCACAAGCTCATGGCCTCGGCAGCGGCAGTTCCCTCGTCCAGCAGTGATGCATTCGCCACATCCAAACCTGTCAACTCGGCTACCAAAGTCTGATAGTTAAGCAGTGATTCAAGGCGTCCTTGTGCAATTTCTGGCTGATAGGGCGTGTACTGTGTAAACCATCCAGGATTTTCAAAAACATTGCGCACGATCGTATGGGGCACGTGACAGTTGTGGTAACCCATACCGATGTAGGAACGCCAAATTTCATTGCGCTTCGCGATTTCACGTATATGGCGAACGAGCTCATGTTCGTCTGTACCATGTTAAAGGAAATTGTTGTTAGCAGTATAATTTTTGAAGTCAGGGAGGCTCGGAGAAGAAAATTGTATTGGTATTTAAACACGATTATCTAAGGGATATCTAATGAAATTTGTTCGATACAAAATGGGTGGTTCGCTTCGAAATTCTGGTTTGGTTAGCTTCTTAGATTCATAAATGTTTTAGTCAGAAATATTTTTTAAGGAAGAGGACTTGAAGGTAACAAAATTTGTTCTTGCTTCATATTCCAACTACTGTGCGATTAAAGGTCTTCAGGATAATTAGTGGTAGTGGACGAGTCATATACATACTTATACCAGGTTAACGTCTAATTTGCGGCTTCATATACAAAACTGTATATAGTCCAGATATTTCCGTGTAGGATATTTGATAGTAGAGTATTTACAAGCCTACTTTCCCATTTACGTATCAACCCATTTAGCCAAGAACATTATGTTGATGGAGTATCCAGAAACTAAAGTAATAACACACACTTTTCATGCATCCACAAAACTTAATCATCATGTGATCTCCACTTTCGGGCTCCTTACCAAAAATGTGCGGACAATTTTGCTAAAAGGATTTAATAAAAATCAAAATGAAGTTATCTCGACTTGATAGTCTATAAAATGTCCTGTTGTAAAGAAGAATAAGAAATTTTCTTTGGTTTTCAAAGGTCATTGGCCCTCAGATAGCGACAAATCGCTATAGCCAAGACTTATAAAAAATTTCCGAAGCTTGGTATGAAAAGTTAAAACTTTTTTGCGGTGGTTTTACATAATATATTCTATTAAATTGGGTCGTTTTAACAATTTGTAAAGGCACTTAATCAGGAGTCCAAAGCTTTCAGAGATGAAAATAATCTATAATTTAGGGGGTTAGGTGGGTTTCAGAGGTCCAAAAAAAAAAGGTATTTTTACGATTTTTTTTTAATACAAGCAAAAAAATTTGAAAAATATAATATGTTATATCAAAGGTACGAGTATATATTCGAATAATATCTCCTTAAATTTCGAAACAAAAATGTTGAAAATTCCGCCGTTGAGACCGCATTTCCTGGGTGTCTCTCAAAAAAGTGCTCTCGGCATGGACAGCATAACTTATTATTGGTTCATATAGAATTAAAAAACTAAGCATGTTCTGTTAGTACATATCTAAATCTCGTTTTTGAACGTAGGAATAAAAAAATATTAAAATTGTCCTTCTTTTCTCGGACTTTGAACAAAAAATCTAATATTTGGTAAAACTTTCGGCATTTTTTGGTCAGAAAAATAAGTTGTAGTGAAACAAGAAAAAACTATTC